TTAATAACTACCGATAGTTTAGTACCGTAGATGACGTTACAAGAAAGGACTAGAAGTAACGAATAAAACAAAAAAAGCCCTCTTTTTCCATCATTATCAACGCTGAACAATTTCAATCTATCATTTGTAATACCGAACAAGACATAGTATTTGTCAAGTAACCTTTACTGATACGAATAAAACAAAGAAAACGTTCCAGATATATACTACTGTCTTAAGAACAAATTTGACGTTCAACGACGACTTCGTATTTGAATTTTTACATGGAAATGCTCTCATGTCCCCAACTTTTAAAATGCTTAACAAGAGTCATTATTTACGTTGAATTTTCTGGTCCCATTCCACTTTGGTCGTCAAAAAATGATGCTAAATTTTAACCAACATTTCCATAAACCCACAACCAAACGTCTTTGTAATTCATCTTCTACTCGTACACAATGCAGTTTAAAAACTGGTGTCTGGTCAAAAACCACACACCGACATAAACAAAATCAATTTTAAGGAACTAAATGACGAACTTTAGTAAATAACGACTTGAAATTAACTTCAACTAAATCTACCCTAGATACTGCAAGAAAAAGAAACGGCAAACCTTTGTATAATTTAAGGGCACAAACCAACAGTTCTCTTTAATTCAAATATAATAAATTGGTACTATGACATCGATGTAAAACTGTTTTTCGAACTACCAAACAACGAACAAAAATCCGACAAATGTCATCTGCAAATGTAAGCAAAATTTAGCTTCGCTTAAAAATGCAATTTTCAGAATTACAATGATGAACCAAATTTAACAGACTATACGACAGCTAACGGCGATGACTTCTTGATAACTACTACAGCCCTCTCTCAAAGCTAATTCCTCTTACCAACTTTACCCAAGGCATTCTTCGAATAGTATGCTCTAAGTTTTTTATCATGCTAAAAATGCACTTTGCAGAAATTACAATATTTGAAACAAAAATAAATCACCTAATCCAACCAAAAAGTATACATAAAAGCAAGGCCTTAACAACACTATACAGGTAGTTACACAAAAAAAGATGAAGAAATATCTGCAAGTACACGAGATTGAATGTTTGACCAAAGTATAAATCATTGTCAGTGCCGGAATTCAGGAACAAAAACGAACTGTCATTTATATCACTGGTACAGTTTGTTAAAACATAATTACTGCTTCCGCAGACCTACTGCTGCAATTTAAAGAAAAATTTTTTCTAAGCAAATTGATCCTTTCCATCAACCATCTTATATCCCTATTCAAGTAAACACATAATGTAATAAGTTGCAGCTTGCCGTAATCCTTGGCAAATATAATAAATTATGCCACCACGATCATAACTTCAGCAACAGCTACCACTCAATTTTACAGTATTTTGGGTATACTCACAGAAACAAAAGAATTTTGAACAAATTTTTGGAAAAAACGTAATAAACAAATATTTTAAAATCCCCAATACTTTAGAAAACAGGAAATCAACCATCCCAAGCGTAATTTGGGTAACCACCACGGACAACAAAACATCAAACAGCTTTTAAAGCTTACCAAATGCCATCTTCCTACCCCTTTTCTTAGTACATCACTACAGCAGAAGAAATAACAACAGATCACAACATAAAAAATAAAAAACTGAATAACTCCCTAAATGAATAATTTACATCTGGATAGATCAACACATTTGATAAGATCAAACACTGTGTGTACATAGAATAATAAGAAATAAATACCCCTTCCTCGCAAAAAAAA